TGGCACTTCTAGATGGCCGGAAATGGCACTCTCGGGGATTAAATTTGATTAAAATTTTCTTTTCCTCTCCATTTTTTTAAAGAATAATTTTGAAAAATTTAGGAGGAAGGGGAGAGGGCCAGATTCCCTTTCCCCTCCTTGAATCCGCCACTGGAAGACAACAAAGTTTTCCTGTACTGTATCTGCATGCATCACGCACATGTACAGCCACGGTGCACCAACCATAAACCTACCTCTCTTCGACCATAACCAGTATTCGCTTCTGATTGGCCTGCTGCTGCTACAGCTGCTTTGACTTTCTCCTCATGGGAATCAGTCGATTCGAGCGGATGCCACTTCGAGCGAATACCAATTCGAGCGAAAAATGATCCACTTATGCGAACAATGGCCTGTGCGAGTCATGTACGAATTATTTTAAAATGTCTATTTTTCACTGCCGCCGCTACAATTTGCATTCGGCCGAGGCTCAAGCTTTGCCTGTGAACCATGGGAAAAGTCCCAGTGGGTTCTGGGGAGAAGTCTATAGCCTATGATATAGAAGTCGTAGGCCTATAGTATGATTTTTAGGTTAACAATTTACTTGCGTTCATAAAAATAATGATTTATCTTATTTTAGTCATTCATTCTTTACACTCGCTTTAAGAAAGTTGGTTTTAAAATATACTAGACGAATGGTGAATTATGGGAAAATTGATATGACGTCATTATTACTACTGTTGATAGTCTTGTCACACTACTATACATACACCAATGATTTGTGCACCTGACACCTAGATATGTAAATATTATTATATTTAAATATGGTAAATAACAATTACAATTACAGTTACTCCCATTTACAAATATAAATCGTAAATTTACAAATACAATTACAACACTATATAATTCAATTAATAATTTGCTTTTTTAAATAGAAAACTCCAACTGGAGACAATATCCAAATGAAAAGAATAAAACGTGCGCAATTAATGTTTTAAAAATTAAAAATATAAGTGCTTGTTACCGGCCACAGAGGTAGTCGTATTTGCCAAGACTGTAATTCAAACATGGAATAATTATCAAAAGTACCAAAAACATTTCAGAACTTTAGTGCACAGAGCATTTTTGCATTTAAAACAAAACAAAAACAAAAAACAAAAAAAACCCCCCAAAAACGAAATAGTCCTACTATTTCACTCACAAATACAAGAATAGGGCGACGATAAATTCGCCGTTGTTATTTATTCGCACTAAATGCATCCGCTCGAACTGGCATCCACTCGAACGGCATTCGCTCGAATTAACTGGCATTCTCTCATGAGTTTAGCCGGTATATTTCTGCTTCTGATCGTTAAAATTCCAACACTGAAGTTGGGAAGTATTTCAAGTAAGATTTAAAGTCATGTAAGTACATGGACCTATGTAGTCGAATTAGGATTCAATTTAACGTGGAACATATTATGATTTTTACTTCCCTTAGGCAAAATTTAGCCGCTATCTATAGTACTAATTAGGCCTAGCTAGGGCCTTACCTTAGGCCTAGTCCCTAGATTTCATTTTTGAGGCCCCAGTCAGCCTTTGCATAAGCACAGCAACAAGGCTGTGTGTGTATATTCTCTGCATGCAGAGTACTCACTCACAATTCCTTATTTTTTTGACCACCTATTGAGGATTGTTGTTTATTTGCTTCCATGGTATGGTGCCTTAAAATTTATTTTCATGTATAAGACAATTTATTAATCCAAGTAGGCCGTCTATAAATGCTCACTGCAGGCTCATTCACTCCCAAAGAATCAATAGGCATAGGCTATATATCCATATTGAATTCTGCAGACAGTACGACCAAGTACACATTCATATAAATGTACCAACATACATACAATACAGGTACAAAGGCCTAGCCTTAAGTTTACATTATTATTATTATTTTATTATTATTATTATTATTATTATTATTATTATTATTATTGTTATTATTATCATTATAACCTATCTGATGTGTAAAACTTACTTTTCAAAAATAGATTTAATGCAGTGCAAGGAATAAACATGCAGTAAACACAATGCACCATCATCAGCATTGTGGTGAAATATTCTAGTTATGAAGAAAGTAGTAATAAATATATAATAAATATATTAATTCCATATGTTTTTCTGTCAGTTGAATTCAGCAATTGTTTACCCTTTTACACTAACAAAGTCAGAATAAACCCATGTTAATTCTGGAGTGATCCCAGGTACATTTTCCACTTACATCGGACGAAAAATCTGGGTTGGTCCCAAGTCCCATGCAACAAATGCGGGTTCAAATACCGGCCTCATTTTCTGTTGCGATGGTTATCTTCACTTTGCTTGAGTTGCTTACGTTGTGATGCAACCCAATTATTGTCAATATTTGAGCAATGTATTGGCAGATTTGTTTAACATGCGAATGAATTTTACTGGAACAAAGATGCTGGCATACTGACATATGTTCAGTCATTTTGAATTCCTGATTCTGATTGGATGTTATTGTCCCAAACCATGCATGCAATAACATCCAATGACAAATAGAATTGGTTTTTAATACTGGTGTAACAACAGTCAAGCTTTTAATAAATGGAATATGTCCTGAAACATGCTACTGTACACTAGACTCTATTGAATATTTAATTCTTTATTATCTCTGCTTTGGCAATAGTAAGAATTTGTTTATTGTTTTGGAATTTGTTTCTAATCGCAGCATATTCACCTTAAACCATGGCAGCTGAAAAAATGGCGAAGCGTCCAAGGACAGAGCGCCACATAAGTGGACATGACAGCGAGCATTTTATGCAGATTGCACATCCAGCTACCATCAATGCTGTATCGCAGCTTGACCATTACAGTCATCTGGACATCCACTCAACACCAGGCAGTGTGCGCAACAGTGGAATTATTTGTACAATTGGTAGGAATGCTCTGTATTTCCTTCACCTTACTTTTCTTCTATTTGTTTGAGTCAAGCACGAGACCTAGGTGATGTATCTAGTGGCACTGGTGGAAGGAGGCGGTTGATGCAACTTGTTGCTCAGGTTGTCAACCACATGGTTGGGAGTTTGAGCCTCATTCTGTCCACTTCCGGCCAGGCGTAGATACCTCAGCTTGCATTATGGACAGGCTGTAAAAGTTCATGTAATGTTCCAGCTGTAAATGCAAGTTGGCTTCAGCTCTTGGCTTTGTTTCGGGAATTCAAGATCAGACCCATCCTTTGCAGGTCCTTACTATGCGATTAAATCTTTGTCCTCCATCCTCCATCCCCAATACAGAGCTCGGGCCCCCTGCGGCTCCGGTCTCAATCTTGAATGGTGCCATTCATCCACACTAACAGTAAAATTAGCATTTTAATTAAGTGTAGGATATTAAAAGTTGAAGATAATTACTTTTATTCTAGGCTACATTACTTTTGTTAATTAATAAATCCAACTATTTTGAATTTCAATAAATGTACAATGCATAAACAGCTATATTATAAAATTGGAAACTATCTACTTACTAGAAACTGCTAATTATAATTATATTTATTTTTTATCAGGTCAAACAAAATAATCTGTTAGAAAATTGAATTAATAGTTAGGGATGTACAGTAAAGGATTTCTACTGTATATACATACAAAATGCAATGCTATTTAATGGTTTTATCATTCTGATTACATTGAAGTAGGTAATGAAGTAAACAGAACAAAAAGAAGGAGGAAAAAATACTGAGAATATTGTTTGTAGTAGATACTAAAGGTATTGAAAAAAACATAAGGAAAAGCTTTACAGAACAAAATAGTGGGATACTATGTTGCATTGTTGAAAACAAAATCATAAGCCTCATGAGAGTCTTAGATTTTAGCTTCATCCTGCAAAAGACAGTTGTTCTTGACATTGTAAAACATTCTCCATTAGCAGCATTTTTTAAAGTAAATATTGTAATCATAGAAATTGAATTGAAAATTCTGTAACAAATTGCCATTGATATCTTTTAGGAGCGGATTACATAGACTGTACTATTATCAATGGGGGTAGTCTTGGAAGTCGTAAGGGAGTGAACTTACCTGGTGCTAAAGTTGATCTTCCAGCTTTGTCTCAAAAAGATAAAGTTGATATTGCATTTGGTGTCAAGCATGGAGTAAGTTCACAGTAAATGATTACAGGTCTCCTCTAATTAAAGGCCCTCCAATAAGGAACACCTCCAATTAAAGACCAATTTTCAATGGTCTCAAATTAACAAATGTCTTTTCTCTAATTCTAATTAGAGACCATGGAAACCCTGGTCCCTCAAGTAGTCTTCAATTGGAGGCAGACCTGTATTATTATATTTTTAAGTTGATGAAGCAATAAATGTGCTCAATAATAATAATAATAACAATAGCAATATTTATAATATTAATACCAGTTTCTCTTGTTTAAGCCCACCCCCTTTAACACAAAATTGGCGTAACAAATTTTGTCAGCACTGCCTGCTTGATTGAAAGCCAGTACTGTTAATTGTAAAAGTCAGCTATAAAGTTACTCATTTGAACCATACCTGGGCTTTTGCTTGGGAAGAGACTGGTATCTGAAATTTTAAAGTAGGGGGTCATGGTGGGCTTTTAGTTATTATTTTATTTTATATCCACTACCGGATATATAGAATTGTAATTAGTTTATGCATGGTTGCAGGTTGACATGGTGTTTGCATCTTTCATCCGGAAGAAAGAAGATGTACAAGCTGTACGGGAGTGTCTTGGGGAAGCGGGCAAAAAAATTCTTGTCATAAGCAAGATTGAAAATGAAGAGGGACTCCAGAAGTAAGTCGTCCTGACATGAATGTCATAGAAATGAGTGTGCGCCGCAGAACGCAGAAGTGGGTGTGTGCCACAGAAATTGGTGTGTGCCCTTGAAATGGATGTGTGCCCGCTGCAGAAATGGGTGTGCACCGCAGAAATGAGTGTGCGCCAAAGAACACAAAAATGGGTGTTCACTGCAGAAATGGGTGTGCGCCGCAGAAATGGGTATACGTCGCAGAAATGGGTATACATCGCAGAAATGGGTGTGCACCTCAGAAATGGGTTTTTTGCCGCAAAAATGAGTGTGCGCCACAGATGTGAGTGTGCTCATCAGAACAATTAATCAGAAACTATAAAATTTTGACCAATAAATTATTTTTATATTATTTTTTATAGTTTCAATGAAATTCTTGAGGTAACTGATGGCATAATGGTAGCCAGAGGAGATCTTGGTATCGAAATCAAAGCCGAGTTGGTTTTCTTAGCTCAAAAGAAAATGATAAGTCTGTGCAATAGAGTTGGCAAACCAGTCATTTGTGCAACGCAGGTAAAAAAGAAATTATACCCTACTATAATTAATGAATCGAGACTTCCTTAAGATCTAGATAATAGTTTAGGTCAAAGAAGTGATTCTATATTGGATGTGGCCTTAACTGGGAATTTCAGATCTATCTTAGGACAAATCCTAAAGGCTTATCTTCCATGTGTATTTAAACTAAACATTCAGTATGCTGTTATGAGCTGATTTAAGCCTGATTTCATCACTCTATTGTAAAATAGTGTCTCAAAGGAGCCATTATTGTCTGGAAAATTGCCTGAAGACCCATAATAAAGCATTGTAGAAGGCAACATTAGAAAAATATTTCCCTTTTGGCGAATAAAAAATATAGTCACAATAGAATAAATATGTATAAGTTATATGTATAGCATTTATCATTAATTTTTTATTCCATGCAAGGTTGATATGTATCTTTAATTACAGATGTTGGAAAGCATGGTAAAAAATCCCCGTCCCACCAGAGCAGAAACAAGTGATGTAGCTAATGCTGTGTTAGATGGGTGCGACTGCATCATGTTATCAGGTGAAACAGCCAAGGGGAAGTACCCAGTGGAAGCAGTCCGGATGATGCATTCGGTATGTAAATTTGTTGTAATAAAAAATCTTGAAAAATGGTGAAAGAATATGTAATGTGATTACATTAATATAGCACATACCGAAATGGTCTCAAAGTGTTTGAGGTGTGGACTAGCTCTTACAGTAACTTGCTTCTTCCCTAAGGGTCTCTTCATGTCTGAGCTACCCGGTAAACTGGTACCAGCTGCTCTTGTCTGTCCACAGCAGGGACTGAATGGACCAATACACTGGAGTAACCTCCTACTTGTCTTGAAAGATGTACTGGGTACTTCAAAGTGCACATGAGCCAAATTATGTATACTGGGCCTACAGTTTTTAGTTTTTGTCCAAGAACCCTTGTTTTTATTTATTTATTTATTTATTATATATTTGGCATATTATAGAGAGTAATATACACAAACAGGAAATACAAAAAGACAGGTTAGCGGCATGCCCAAAGAGAAAAATGGGCTGAAAGCCCGACACCATAGGTGAATTCTCTCTAAACCGCTAACATGTAAAAGAACAATGAAAAACAAGTATTCAAAGATTTTTTTACATTTTATAAAATTTTTTCAAAAAAAACAAAAAAACAAAAAAAAACCAGTACCTAAAAAATTCATCTATTGATAATGTTGAAAGAATATGGAAGATATGCTGCAAACTACAATAAGGCAGAAGGTATTAATAATTCTGCCTCACTACCATCTGCACTTTTTCCCTTTGGCAAGGGAACCATCACAGGAACCATAGGCAAGGGTGCTTGCCTATAAAACATGCATAATACTGTAGTTAGCATGTATCTGTTCTAAACTACACATTATTCTAATTGGCAAGTATATGAAATTGCTCTTAGATATGGAGATAAAAACAAATCAATAAATAATTTTGCGATGACTGTCATCAGTAAATAACTTTGTGATGACTGGATTTCTGTTGCAAAAACAAAATTGATGTGTATAATTCATTCATCCATTTGATGTTACAGATTGCTCGTGAAGCTGAGGCTGCCCTATTCCATAGGCAATCATATGAAGAACGTCTTAGAGAAGTAGTGATCCCAACCAATCCAGCTGAGACCATTGCTTTGGCCGCTGTTGGTGCTTCGTTCAAGTGCCAGGCTGGTGCCATCGTTGTACTAACAAGAACTGGAAAGTAGGTCTAGGCTAGCTGCTTAAATAATTTGTCATTTTATTTAATTTATTTAATTAAAAGCATGAAAAATATACTTTCAACATTTTTTTAATAAAATAAATACAACAAAAAAAATCCTTGTGAATTTTAACAAATTTGATTTTATCAATTTTATGATTTTTTTTAATGAATGCTGTTCTTTTTGATTAAGAATTGAATACAACCATAACTCACCGTACACCACTGTAAATGAAAAGAGGGGTGAAAGAGGCTGGCAGGCCTGATGTGGCCCTCTATTAGCCCCTCTAGACTTAAACTTTGACAAAGACAAGCCAAACCAGTCAAATCATGTTTACAAGAAAATGGCCAAAACATGCTGAAATGTCAAAATTTTTGAAATCTATTTTATTGCTATAAATTTTATGAACTAACCTTTATATATCTGTACATCATGGTATGCTGTTATTTTCCGAATTTTCAATGTTAAAACAACAATTTTTAACAATTTGTTGATGGTTTCTGCCTGAGAAATGCCCGAAATCATAAAGTTTAAAAGCTGATTTCTCAAATATTGTTCTTTAAACTGCTATATATTTAAATGCTTGTAACTTCATAAGTTACTTCATTCATTTTCATCTTTAACCCTGTATTAATAACTAAAAATTCATTTTATCGACGAGTGACTAGTTTGGCTTGTCTTTGCCACATATTTTGAGGTGATAATATTAATTAATTTTTTCAGGTCTGCACATTTGATTTCCCGATTCCGCCCACTGGCTCCTGTATTGACCGTAAGCCGTGATCAAAATGTGCTTCGTAAAATCCACTTATGGCGCGGTTGTTTTCCTGTACATTACTCGGAGCCTGTTTGTGAGGAATGGCAAGAGGATGTGGATAATCGTATTAAGTATGCAGTTGACATTGGTAAGAAACGTGGATTTTTTACAGAGGGCGCTGCTATCATTTGTATCACTGGCTGGCGGGGTGGACAAGGTTTTACCAATACTATGCGCATCATTCCAGCTTAAAAAAAGAACAAAAGAGTCAAAGCTCTCTTACAAGGGAGTATATTTCATGTTACAAAAACAAACGATCAAGAGAATTTATTATCGATTTAAAAAATACTATTAAATTTATATGTTTGTGATTTTTCTTACTTGGTTTGTTTTGATGTGATCACTTATACTTGTTGCTAGATTTATCTATTGATTATAATGAAATATAAATGTCATAATTATAACTAAGGTATAGGCTGCAATAGAAAGTTGCTCCCACCAAAAAGCTGCAAGAAAGAAATCTGTTAAATTATTTTATTGTAATTTTTTGATAATGATTTCCGTACAAGATCCAAACAAGTTGAATTTTATTTTTCCAATGCAGAAAATTACAATAATTGCATCATTTAAATAAATGATATATGTATTGTCGTAATTATATAAAAAAAATCAATAGAATTAACCTGTATTAATGTGAAAGTGATGTAAGTTATTGAACAATAATATGGTAAAAGCAATGTTTTCTGTAAAAGAATATTGTCATTTTTAAAGGTGACAATACTGTATTTATCAAATACAGATACTTTCAATGCTTACATTGTAAATACTAGTGAAACTTAAGTCCTAAACAATAAAATGTTGTATTAATTTGAATTAGAAAGTTGCTCCCACCTGCAAACTGCAAGAAAAGTTTATCAGGGTCTGTTGCTGAATGAAATGTTAGTTGTTAAAAATTGTCATAAGTATTGTTTCCATATTAGGTATAAGGTCTTTATTCATGGAATGCGCAATATTACAATGCTTATGTCATAAGGATACAACTTAAATTAACAAAGACAATATGTATAGTATTGTATTCATGAATTTCAATATAGTATTACATCTGCAGTATTGCATAAAATAATATGTATAGTATTGTATTCATGAATTTCAATATAGTATTACAACTATCTACAGTATTGCATAAAATAATATAGACTTCAATTATGGATTGTTTAGTGGAATCGATGCAACATTTGATGTGGGCATGAACATAAAGATTTGAGGGTGCTATGCTCCAATAGAGGCAAAGTGTAGTATTGAACTACAGCTTAACGTGCAGAACCAATGTATTGTTATTGCTGTGTAAAAGTATTAAAGAATAAACTTAACAAAAAATTATATTGTAAGTGTTGGTATTCATTATTTTGTTATATATATGTATATAAATTTGTTTTTTAATGTTTGCTTGTCTTGAAATTTAATCATGGATCATTGATTATCTGTTCCCATGAATGACAATGCAGATGGAGATGAAAATGTTCATTTGGTGCAATGAGGAAATATGGATGTGATAGTGTTAGTCTTTGAGTTTTCTTTCAAATTCACACACTTAAACTGGGTAGTGGGGAAAGAAGCACAGTTAGAAATTAAGAATGTCCAATATAGTACTAAGCACCGTCAAAAGATTTTTATATTTGCTAAAGTTAATGATTGGAATACTGTAGTCTGCTGTACCATATATTAAATGCTACTTCCATAAATATGGCTGCCTGGAAACACTGACCATAGCCAGTGTAAGCCATACAAATGTGGACAAAACTGAGAGACTGACCTGAACTGGTTTCCCTTCTGAAGGTCATTGCAAATCAAGGAAAATCGGTGTCTACAGAGAAACAAATCAAAATAATAGGTCAGCTTACTGTTGTGACATCGGATTTAACCCTCTAAACAGTGGCATGCCGTTAGGATTAGTATGCCTTTGTTGGATAACCATAAATCCCTAACATCAGACACCTTGAGGTCATCAGACTTAAAATATGGTGTTAAAGCACAATTCTTAACATCCAAAATCGTGGAGCATAGAGTATTAAATGCCCATTGATGATCCAGGTGACACCTCTAGATCGACTCAATATTTGAGTAGAATTTTATTATTTTCTCAATTTTTTTTAAATTTTGAAAAATCTAGGGGCTAGGGGTCCCGAGCCGGCTGGGTCCCGAGCCGGCTGGGTCCCACTTGAACCTGCCAATTTTTCCCAATCATTTAAACTTTCTTGTCAGCTAGCTGCCCTTCACTTAATCCTCAAGTCCCCGCATTCAAACCCATCAGCTATCCTATGTCGATACTCTTAGATATGCCACTGTTTAGGTGGCTCATCATCCTGGGTTTGAACATACCATACCTGTCAGCAAATTTCTGGAGCCACCAGTACCATCTGAGCCTCAGAGCTTTCCTTTCATATATAAATGTATACTAATTTCCTTCTTTTACAGGTTCTGAAAAACTTAAGAACTACTACAAAAGGGCCACTCAGAATTCCCCCTGCAAAATAGAAAAATAATTTACCAGTATTGGCATATGTGAAGACAATTTTAAATAATTTGAAGATGAAAATTATTGAAACAGAGAAATAGCAATTAAATAACTTAACAGTGATAATAATAATAGTAATATTATTAACAAACAGTACTAACAGTAGTAATAAACAATAATAATTTAATTACATAATTATAAACTATTTACATTATAAAGATATAAACTGTAAAATTACTGTCTTGGATTAGTAAAGAGGACACTGCGAGTCTGAACAAAAGGTTTTACCATAACCTGGGATTCGAACCCTGCACCTCTGCTGTCCGAGTCTATGCACAAGATCTTATCACTCAACTAGGGTCTGGGGCTTTGTTATATAGTAATTATTCCGTCATCACGCATTTGAACGACAAGACAGGATCTCCGAAAAGTCACTTTTATTCAATAATGTACAATAAAGAGGTTCTTACTATCTTTCCATAATGCTATTATATTATTCATGTTTTTGTTGGAAAAGGTACAGTAGGCCTAAGATTTATTTAGTGACAGATGACTAAAGGGGACTTACATATCCCCAGACCCCACTTGGAACTCTTCAAACTATCATTTCGCAATACTACTACTTACTCTTTTAAATCATCCCTCAAAAGCTTTGAAGCATTCTAAAATTTTATTTGAATTTGAATTGTGAATTCATTATTGATTTCTCTTTAATTATTTATTTCATTTTTCATATTATTTTTAATTAATTTATTTTCTGTAAATTAAGAATTATTAGATTATTAGATTTGGGTGACTTCATTCTAAACTTGTTTTTTTTTTATCTGTTATGTTACTGTTTCTTTGGCCAACTGTACTTTTTCATTTTTTTATCCTGCTTGATTAATTTGCCTTTATAATTGTAATTTCATTTATTGATTTTTTTAAATAATTTATTTTCAGTTTTATATATTTTTTTGGAATTAATTCATTTTGTAAATTAAGAATTGAATGGTTACTTTTTTTCTTTTCCTCATTTTTATATTTTAGATTATTGTTTTAATTGATTATTCCATTAGGGCTTACTGTAGAGTCTGAATTTATTTACAGTATATTACTATTAATTAATTAGAATTATACTCACTTTTGTTCTGTGTTACTTTGTGTACTGAGGGTCCCTAATGATCAGCTTCGGCTGGATGACGACCCTCATTAAAGATTGTTGAAATAAAATTTAAAAAATAGAATGAATTTATAATTTGAACACCCAGGATATAGATACAACTGACTGACCTCTCCTGAGATAACTAATCAATCGATCAGACCAACATAATGATCATTTTAAGTCTACATAGTACCAAACGTGGTCAATAATAGAAAAAATAGCACAATAGAAAAAATAAAAAGGATTGAAGTTTTGAAGAGCCAACAAAGAACGAAAAGCACAATCGTCATTCGATGGTACGATCTTGATTTCTTTATCGCCCTCTACCAAGTGATGCGGAAAAGTAGAGAACTCCCAACATGAATTTTTCACGTGCTAGAAGCTATTCACGATCCAATCAAACAATGTGTTTTTTAATGACACGACGGCGGCCTCAGTGCTCGGCCAATGAAAACCTTCAACAGATAGAGCGCTAACCAAAGATCTACAATGCTGCTGCACACTGCTGTGGATATTTTCCAAACATTATTCCACTCGAGGTTTTCTAATCAAAGGAAGAGTAGCGGTTAATTTATTGTCAAAAGTTCCACTGAAACCCACTAAAGAAATTGGAAAAATGGCTTACTGTGCTGATCACAATAGAGTCATTAACTTTGCTGCTGGTCCGGCAAAATTACCTGAAGAGGTAGGTCTAGCCTAGCCTAGGTTTGCAATGGACGTTTAATATTACTATATATTATTATGATTATTATTTATTATTATTATCTAGGCCTATACGGGACTTTACTACGGTATCACTGACTCTGTTGATTGAATGACCATGACGATGATTAATGAAAATGATGTACCGCAGGTAGACAGTGCATACAAAAACCTGCCTCTACTCATGGAGTTATAATTATCTACTGTACTAGTCTAGGCTACGTTCCCAAAAAATGTATTATGAGGAGTACTTTACTTAGCGGCAACATTGTTTCTCGAATAAAATAACTTTATAGGCTGGATGTTACTCTCTTTTTCCGTTAAAATTTAACAATAGATAGTTAATTTGTTGGTTTATTTATTTTTTTTAAATTGCACTTTATTTCTGTTAAAATTTAACAATAGATAGTTAATTTGTTGATTTATTTATTTTTAATTGCACAACACAGGTTTTGTTGACAGCTCAGCGAGATATGTTGAACTACTCTGGCCTTGGAGTCAGCGTTATGGGTGAGTATTTTGTTTTCTAATTACAGTTACAAAGAATTCTAAATTCTTAAATTGTGCAGAGGCAGAAGCTCATTTTAAGGATTTGGAACACAAATCCCACATCAGATAAAACTCATTTTTTAACTGTTTTGCAAAAGTCTTACAAATTACAAATTAATTTTTCAGAACTCAGTCATCGTTCAGCAGAGTTCGGTAAAATTATGAACAAAGTTGAGCAAGATTTCAGAGACCTACTGTAAGTGTATTGACAAAATTATCATTTATAATATTAATAAAAAAGGTTACGGTATATATTATTATAAAGAAATAAGAATTCATTTTATAAAAACAGCAAGAGTTACAGAATTCTTTGCTTACTCTAAGTATCCATAAAACAAGGGCCTAGACTAGTCCTATATAAATATTTTACCACATATATGAATGAACATTAAACATCATATTGAACATGAATATTTTATGTTTTAATAACGTTTTTTATTCATTTTCAGTGACATACCTGACAACTACAAGGTGTTGTTTTTACCTGGAGGTGGTACCGGACAATTCAGTGCAGTCCCAATGAACCTTTTGAATGGGGGTACGGCAGATTATGTTGTGACTGGTAGCTGGTCAGCAAAAGCTCTCAAAGAAGGACAGAAATATGGCAAAGTAACAGAAGTATACAAAAAACCAGCATCATACACAGGTAAAGCTTTCTTCCCTGAATTATATGTTTTTTAAATAGGTTTATTAGAATTTCTCATAGATTCCGTACATAGTTTTCCTTTTATTTTTATCTATATTTTAATTATTTGTTTTTGTATTACACCATTTATAACAATTTGTACAAAGATAACAACACTTTGTCTATTTCCCTGTAACTAACAAAAATTCATATGCATTTAGATATTAATATATATTTTTTGTCATGATTTTTTATTTTAAATGTTGGTTGAATAAATAAATCGAATAAATGAATTCATAATACTTCATAATTTTTGTAAAATTCATCAGTATTGTAAGTTTTAGAGAATAATCTGCCAAATATGGAGAGTTATCTCCCAAATATGGCTGTAGAAACTACTCTCTATAACCTCACCCTAATAAGGTACATAAAAAACCTAATATGGCTGATGAAACCGCCAACGTGGCTTCCAAATATGGGAGGAGCTTCACCTAATATGGCTGATGCAACTTTGCTTGTCCCAAATATGGCGTCAGTAGACTGTAAAGGAAGTCGTTAATCCTAATAAGGTCAGTGAAGCATTAGGTTATTGTAAAGGACTGCTACATTATTCATAATAGGGGTTTCATTTATTTACTTCATATGTTGTGGTTTGAAAGTTTCAACTTAATCTACTGAAGTATGTTAGTTATTAATTAACCATTTTGTAGTCATTTTAAAATATTTTTGTTTTATTCAAGTATACATAAATATATTCTCTGTATAGATTTATAATTTTTCTATATAGCATTGTACATTGTAAAATGTAATGATCCATGCAAAGAATAGAATACAGTATTAATCCTGTTTTTCAGCTACATGGTTAACGTAGTAATAAATATATGTATGGGATATGAATTCATATAACAGATATTTGTGCTTTGTTGAATTTATGAATGTAATTTTTGATGGTGATGAATATTTTAAATAGTTGTCATTTAATAAAAATGTACCTTGCATCACGATAAACAGAATTTAATAATTTTATTAAAATAAATAAAAAAAAACAAATGTTTTATTATGTAAAATCTCATTTCAGTCTTGTTACTGCCAATATTTATAATAGATGGGTGATAATAAGCAGACATGATGGTGTATATCAAGAAGGAGCTTGGGGAAACATTCTCCAGACCCAGAAAACGTGTGCGCTTTTCTCCAGGCATCCTCTCTACCCTAAAATACTTTACATTAGTTGTACTGTAATATTATAAATTAAGTAGTTTGTTGTGTTGTTGTTGTTCTTACAGGTATCCCAACACATGACACATGGAATTTGAATCCAGAGGCAAAGTATCTGTATTATTGTAATAATGAAACTGTGCATGGTAAGTTGTAAGGGAAAAAAAACATGTTTTGTTGTCTTGATAAATATATGCTGCATTGCATGTCTAATTAGCCAATTATCTGATAGATTAGTTAGATAGATTGCATTTACTACCCTGAACTCTGACTTCAAATTAACAGATTTGTGTAATAAAGTGTTTGTATATTATTTAAATGCTTGGTAATTTGACAACAATAATAATACAGTTTTAGTAATGTTCATTTTTTAATAGATGAGATAGCAATAAAGGTTACTTTGATTGATTGATTGATTGATTGATGACATTTTATAATTGACAGGTGTGGAATTCCAGCAGACTCCTTATACATTACCTAATGTTCCATTAGTGTGCGACAGTTCTTCTAATATGTTGTCAAGACCTATCGATGTAGCAAAGGTACTTATTTTGTTTAGAAAGTAATTTAGCAAAATTTTAAGATGTAGAAATAGAATTTCATGACCTTCTTCAATGATATCAAGCAGTTCTATTAACTAGCACTTTTTTTGAAAGCAGCAGTTTAGCTCAGTCGGCTAATCTGGGGGTAGCCCGGTTCAATTCCAATCGCTGCCTCTCCTTATGTTTTAGCTGGAGGGCTGAGTTACAATAGTGCACCGTCTTTCGGATGAGACATTTAAGCCATTGGTCCTGTGTGCATTTATGTCTCATGTGCACGTTAAAGAACGCAGTACACTCTTCGGAAAAGTGTAGGGGATTGTCTCCCGGTGTACTGTCCAATCACCAACAGAAGGACCCCACTGGAAATAAGTCTTCTTCTAGACTTTCATGGGCTATCCTTGGTGTTTACACCGAATAAATCCAATCCAAGCAATATGTGACCAGAGCTAAATATAATATTTCGTGGATCTCCTACCTAATTCAACTCAACTCACTCGGACTATTAAATAGGACACTGTAGTCAGATGGTGGAATGACAAGTTCACTGCATTGCTTTGATAATTCAAAAAATCTTAAGTGCTGTAATACTACACAAATACTAAGTCCTGAATCACCTCACAAATCCTTTAAATATTTGTATTGTTGTCTATTCATCTGAAAACCACTACAGTAATTCTATTTATCTCCTATTATTGTGGCATTTTATATCAACCTCTGTAATATAGAAATCTAACAAGCTAGCCAAAATATAGATGCAAAAGCCAACAAATGTTTAGTCACTTTTGTATTTAAAAATCATTCAATCCCATTAATGAGAATGCTTAAGTGTATGTTAAACTAATTAAAATAATTTTAACATCCTTTAATATAGTTGGCTACCAAATCCTGGAGGTCAATGACACTCTACTAACCACTAATCATTCACTGGTCTTTGCTTCCTATTTCTTACTTTTTCCTGACATACATTTTTTTAATGATTGAAAGTTAAGTGCTAACTGCATATGGTCCAACCTAAAGTTGATTAGTCATTAATGAATTATAACATAGTTCAGGTAGCTTAATATAATTAATATATTCATAAGCAATAACTTAACACCATAATTAATAAAATAATAAATTTGTAATAAAGTTTTGCAGTAAAAAGAAAAAATGTAAGAACTTATTACAAATGTTGATGATAACCTAGTTTATATATTGATAAAATATTTGATATATTGATATAACCTACAGTAGTGAACGTATTGATAGAATATTTGATATATGGATAATATATTTGTAATATCGATCTTTGTTTATATTGATAGTTATTATATTGATAATATTGGTAGAAAATGAAGTGGTTTGTCATATCCTCAGTAGATTAAATGAGCCGTCTGCTTCTAAATGCCCTATGAATGAACTTAAAATTAATATTTATAGTTCATGTTAAGGCCAGCTCAGACAGCGTCGTACGAAGCAGCCTGAAGCGGTTTGTTGGGGACATTCTTAAGCTGTCATGAGAAATATTAAACATGTTCAATATTCTACGACGCGACTGCCCTATTGCACACACCATTGCAAACTCACACAGACACAATGCGACAACATTGGGATGCGTAGTACGATGCTGTCTGAGTTTGCTTTTATGGAGGTGAATGAGGGCCCGTTCGAGCAAAAAACGGCAACCGTATTCCGTTTATTTCACCGGGTAATCGCGCTAAGCACTCAGCGGGTGGTCGACCGTTCGAGCAAGTGAGGATGTGTGAGGAGGCGAAGGAGAGCTGCAACCACGCCTAGGTCGTACCTATTGAATTTCACGCTGGGCTGTGGACAAAACATTTTGAAAAACAATTAAGGTTTGATTTATCATCGCCTCCGGCTCCATGGTCATTCCATACACAGTATTCTACCCAGCAATTTGGTGTTCAAAATTGTCACGGATAATCCAGATGGTTAGGTAATTAGACTAGTGTCCGAGCGGTTTTAGAAAGTGTGTACCAGTGAATTAACTGGTAAATCGCACGGATATTTTTTCGCTCAAACAGGCCCAGAGTTATAAAAATTTAAAGTCAGTGGCACTTTACTAACAACAAATCATCAATCATCCACTTGTCTTTGCTTCCTATTTCCTACTTTTTCCTGACATGCTGTTTTTAATGATTGAAAATTAGGTGCTAACTGCATATGGTCCAACCTAAAGTTGATTAGTCATTAATGAATTATAACATAGTTTAGATAGCTTAATACTATAAATAATATATTCATAAGCAATAACTTAACACCATAATTTATTTATTAATAAGTTTGTAATAAAGTTTTAGAATAAAGTGAAAAAAATGTAAGAACTTAATTCAAATGTTGATGATAACCTAGTTTATATATTGATAAAATATTTATTGAAGAGTGGGTTTGCATGTATGCTCCAAGTAAAAAAAAATGCAAAAGCAATGAAAAAATGGTGTACAATCATTGAAGGTTGACTTGCGGAACACAAATTTATTAAGCTATAAAAAAATCAAACGGATATTTCGATAGCTCCTGCTATCTTCATCAATGTTAAAATATTTGATATATTGATATAACCTAGTGAACATATTGATAGAATATTTGATATATAGATAACATATTTGTAATATTGATCTTTGTTTATATTGATAGTTATTATATTGATAACATTGGTAGATATTGAAGTGGTTTGTCATATCTACAGTAGATTAAATGAGCCGTCTGAAAATTTGCCAAGTGCAGTGATCAATTCATATTTGCATTATTTTGTTCCTATTGTAATTGTAAATTAGTCTGTTCAGTGAGGCCAAAATGTACCAAGTGTGAGGAATTCCTTGGTATTAAAATCAATGCGTTTTCCTCCTATTTTGCAGCATGGTCTGATATATGCTGGAGCTCAAAAGAACATGGGATGTGCTGGTGTGACTGCAGTCATCGTTAGAGAAGATCTAGTTGGTACATCAATCCCAGAATGCCCCATTATCTTGGATTATAAGACACAAGTTGGAATGAATTCTTTGTACAACACCCCACCTGTTTACAGGTAAATATCTCGTAAATATTAGGTTTTATTTAAATATGTAGATTAAGTTGTGGATGTTAGTTGTTTCTAACTGATATGAATCTTTCACTTAAAGAAAATAAAAATGTATTTACATTAAAAAAAAAATAATATATGTACACATGCACATAAATGCATATCATACATATTTAATGTAATATTTATGTGCTATAATCATCAAATTTTGTGGAAAAACTTTTTAAACTTTTTAAGTTTGAGGTAAATGTAAAGATTTCATCTTGATTTCAGTATCTATATAATGGGTTTAGTGTTTGAGTGGGTAAAGAAACAAGGTGGGGTTCAAGTTATGGAAGAAAGAAGCATTAAAAAATCTGGTCTTCTGTATGACATCATTGACAACTCTGATAACTTTTACTGGTGAGTAATTATAATGATCAATTATTGAAAAATAGTGTGGGTGGTTGTGGTAGTCTCTATACAGCAATAAATAGGAGTTTAAATATTTAGTTCTTGAGATCTGTCAAATCTTGATGGCTAATAAGTAGATCACCTCATAGCTAATTATTAACTAATTCCCTAATATCTGCAGGCAGTAATTAGTGCATAATGACTTGGGTGCATTAATATTGTAATTTGTTTGTAAACATGTTGTAAAAACTATTACTGTAGTTATAATTGAATATATTGAATCATACTGTTATTTTTATTATAAAATATTATAAATGCTTACAGTATACCACATATATAGTTTAGAAAAGAACTGTTGTATTTGTTAACGAGAAAGTCTCAGGATTTCTATTGAGTTGCTTTAATCATCAGGAGAATTAAATATAATAGTGAAAAGAAGAATTGTGAATCTTGCTTTTGATTGGTGGAAAACTAAACTATAGCTCGAGACTAGGTGTGAAATGGCCAAGACAAAAGCCAGTATTCACAGTCTGTGTGAGAGTGGGGTGTTGCTAGAAAAGGCAAGACAGTGGCTTTTAATGAGATTGTAATTTTTGTCTTACTGTTTTTACGTCTGTGGATTGTATTGTTGATTTGTGAATGCTCATTGCATGTGGCACTGATGCAAAAGTGTAGATTCCAAAAAAGTTATTATTATATTATAGTAGCATTGTTCTGGCTTTGGTGAAGGAAAGCCAAAACAATGGAATTATCTCCAGTTCTTTTCAGAATGACCAGAAATGTACCTAAGTGTTGTACTGCAAGCGTTCAACACATTACTTCACCATGCAAACATTCAAACAATATTTTTTTTCATGTAGCTGTCCAGTGGATGCGAGCACTCGTAGCAGGATGAATGTAACCTATAGGATAGGTGGACCAAATGGTAATGAGGAGCTTGAGAAGAAGTTTGTAGATGAAGCCAAGAAGCAGGGCATGATCTCACTCAAGGGTCACAGGTCAGTAACTCTTGAACATTACATATTTTTAATAATGAAAAATCATGGATTTTAGGTTTGGTGTGGTTACCAATTTACCAACAAAAATGAGTTAATATTTTTTTAATCTGCAACCTCTGGCCCTCTATAATTTTGATGGTAAACAACTTGAAATAAATCTGTTTATAATTTCAGATCTGTTGGTGGAATCCGTGCATCCCTGTACAATGCTACAACGATTGAGGAGACAATGAAACTTGCAGAATTTATGACCGAATTCAAAGAAAAATATTTCTCATTAATGTAAATTGATGCATAATTAATGATGCATAATCATTTACAATTTGGACTCCTTATAAATATGTACACGATACTGGTTGCCGATATATTCCCAGTTGATGCATTACCAAACGACTAAACTATTTTATTTGTCCAAAATAAAATTTACTTGTTGTTTTAATATTTTGATGGTCATGTTTGAAATACATTTCTAAAGCCCTGTCCACACTATCAAATATTATTTGACAAAAACATGCAACATGCCTATATATGGTCATGATGACATCACATGGCCATATGTAGGCACATCATGACTATATATGGGCATACAACAGATTTTTGTCAAAGAAAATTTGATATTCTGGACAGGACTTTATAGTACTATATTAAATTTTATGTGACAAAAGTGCGATATGCCCATATTTAGGTGTAATATGTCATCACCATACCCATATATAAGCACATAACATAAAATGTGATAGTGTGGACTGAGCCTTAAATCCTAGTTTGTGGCACAATCATGAACGAACACAAGTATGTTATGGCTTCCATATTGTGACAAATGTACTTGGTGTGACCCAGCTTTTGTACTGGTATAACATTATCAGATTACAGTAGATATAAATTGACTTTATGTACACTTTTGCAAGTACAGTGCAGATATTTATTTATATAAACAGAAAATATATGCTACTGTATAAGATAAAAATACAAAATTTTACTTGTAGTTAATAGTACTTCCTGAATTTAATAGCCAAATACTTAACTAATTACTGTGATTATTTTAGCTAAATTTAGAAATATAAAGAGATAGATTTCAACTTTTTCTTTCTATTGTATGAAGAAAATGGTCATTGTATTATGTGAGCTTACATGCAAGTGGAATGATTTTTAATCATCAGTCAATTTTAACAAGGTTACAAGGTGAATTTTTAAATTCTAACATACTTTACTCAAAATGTTCATCTTGGTTTTTTAGACTAATTTAAAAGGTTACTAGAATACATCACTTCCTGTGTGATTTGTAACCATTATGTAAATTTGTAAAAAAGAATAAATGTACTAATATTTCCAATTGTGATGATTAAGCTTGTAAATTATCTGAAACATTAAAAATAGCTTAGTAGAGTACTGAATTTTCAACCTGTCACAATTTTGTTAATTAGCAGAAGTAAATATTTTTATCTCTTGGTTTTTAGACCCAATTGAAGTAATTAATTGGGTAAGACTTTTATTGTGTAAATAAATTTGTAAAATAAATGTACTTAGAGTATAGCTTTCAAAAAAGCCAAAAAGAAATTTTTACCCAAGCACTGTGATGATTGGAGGTCAGGGTTGGTCAGAATTATTTTAAGTAGGGTTATTATTTTAATTGTAGGGTTTGTGGCTAACACACAAACAACACGCTAAATCTATGGTTTAATCTGCAATCACATTGGATCCGTACTGAAATTCAGACTCGTTTCCAATCAGTATATTATGTAATGTTAAAAAGATCTAGGTAAAGCTGGACTCTGTAATGAGGTGGATCATGGTAGACAAAAAAACAAGTGTCACTGTAGTCAGTGGCGGCTCTAGGATATATTTTCTGGGGGGCTAAGGGGGACTTGAGCTCATAGGCTCGAGCTGGAGGAAGGGGTTCCCCCTCCCGAATGAGATTTTTTTGAAGAATATCAACCTCTGGATGGCCAAAAATGGCACTCTTAGGCTGTGACAGACATGTGTTGGCTTGGTGTGGGCCTATTTTTATGTTTTATGGTCTGACTGCCCGACGAGCTGTCTGGCGGGGGACCTTGACCTGTCCAGTGGGGGACCTTGACCTGTCCAGTGGGGGGCTTAAGGCAAATGCAATAATATAAGATCATGCAGACTCCAAAAAGACTAAGAGAAGCCATAGTGATTCAATGTTTTTGCTTTATTCAAACATCATCAGGAATGATGAATGAATGTACAGTAATACTTTTTTGCATTGTCGAAGTATAAAGGGACTGAATTAAATTGGCTGCGCGATGTACTGCGATAGCGATAACATACACTGTTAAATTTTTTTTTATTTTGATTTATGTCACAATGTTTGTTTAATAAAAAAAAAAAAGACTAAGAGAAGCCATAGTGATTCAATATTTTGTTCTTTATAAGTATAAAGGGACTGTAATTAAATTGGCTGCGCGATGTACTGTGATAACGATAACATACACTGTTAAATTTTAAAAAATTATTTTGATTTATGTCAAAGTATGTTTAAAATCAAAAATCAATCACAGGGAGGATACTGTATAATAACGGTGTAGATTTGCATAATGCTGGTATCCATCAAACAAGAAGCTCATGCCGCTTTATATGTTAAGTAACTCGATCAACTTTCTTCGCACCTAAGGGTCACTTTGTGTCTTTGCTAACCAGCACATCAGGGTATTCCCCTACTTGTCTCAAATAATGTACTGGGTTCTTCATAGTGCACAGGAGCCATTGTATACACTTGGCCTATGGTTTACAGTCCTTATCCGACAAGACTTCTACCACAATTTTATTATATTTTGTTATTTTAAAATCACACTAAAGTGAAAACCTATTATTTATATTATTACTTTTTAATTTGTAAATTATTATTTCATTACTTTAATGAATGCTATATTAATGGAGGGGTATCCTAATTGTAGAACTTGAGCTTAAAACTTACGAACACACTTTGATACATCTAAAAAGAAAGTCAAAATGACCACTGAGCACTGAGAGACAGCAAATGAATATGGTATCAGAAGAGCAACGGCATGAATGGTACGTGAATTACAAATCAATGTTGGAAGTGATAAAAGAAAAATATGGATAAATTGAGAAGATATCTAATTAATAGTGGTAATACTGTATTAATTAGCAAGTAAAATTGCTCAGGTCCGTATATCCTGTGGGTGGGGTAGTGTGATGGGTGCGTGCATATGCACCCAACCAAATTTGATAAGGTCCACATTTCCATGACAGTCGAGAAAGTATTGAAAATAAATTTGTGATTTTTAGTGATTCAAAAATAATATTTTTTTTAAATTTAACCAGTAAGCTACCCAGTCTGTTGTGAATCTGGAAAAATGCAATCTATTTTTGAGATTTTTCTCTTAGGGGGAAATGTAATCTATCATATACTCCAAACAATTTTTAGATATATAAAATTATTTTAAAAGTTACACATTATATCCATCCATCAAAGCATTATACTCACTATTATGCATTGAAAATTTGGCAATCAACCAATCACAGAAGACAATCATTCATATCTAAAAGTCGTGATCATAATATGAATTTTAGACTAATATATGTTAAACATAATTTCTAGGAAATAGGATCTAACATGATTAGAATTCTCTGTACTACATTATGCTAAAAATTAAGGAATGGATTTCCTTATCCTGATGTTGTGGTCATATTAAACTGTAATATAATCAAAGAAGACCATTCAGCAAACAAAAAACATTTGAAGAGCAGACTTCCTTATGATTTAGTCATAAGGAAATATAAATCGATATGGGTCTGAAGCAGTGGTGTTGAGAGCCAGTAAGGGCCCCGGCGCAACACCTCACATGGCCCCCCTCACTTGGGCCCCCACTCGGCCGCTCCCCAAATTAAGTCTCCTAAATCTGACAACAAAAGTTTTCATCCTGGCTTGGGCTTGGGCCCTATGGAGATTTTGTTCTCACCCCGAAAATTTTTCATCTTGGTCCGGGCCCCCAGTACACCTGGGCCCCGGGGCAGCAACCCCATGACCCCACTCTCGACGCCACTGGTCTGAAGTCCGTGATAAGTGTTCTGTTTAGAAGTTAAGGAGTGGACCTTTCAAAGCATCATGGACTTTGTCCAGGTTAAGCTAAGGAGTTTACCTTACTTAGTTATCAACCACTACAAACACAAGGACAGATGTTGTTGATGCATATTTTAATTCAACTACAGTAGATAAAACCATCCCCATCTACATTCATCACAACAATATATTTCAAAATTTAAATATATGATCTACTTTAATGCACCCTGGATGTTAAACTGGCTATAAAACTATATATGAATTTTACATTCTAAATATTACCGTATTTAAAAAAGAAAAAAAAGATTGCTGATTTAAAAGTGCATAGAAAGTAGATATCCAATCAATTATTAATAGCACATTAATGTGTAGCTGTTGGTAATATTAATTCTACAGTTCTCCCTCAAATTCGAGGCCAACTTTGGAACCTGAAAATTTGGGGTGGTCTTAGGGTTTGGTCTCCAATTATCATAGCTTTGCTAAAAGATTTAAGGTTGTTATTTGGATCTTTGGATAAGTGGTCTTGAATTTGAGGATTCTCAGATTTTTTAAACTAATTTTTAACTGAGGAATTCTACATACTTATTTGTATATTTTTGTTGTTTGCATGTTTTACTGTCAAGGCCAAATGAGTTTCCCCATTGTGGGATAATAGATTTTTTTAAAATTCAACTGAATTGAGGGTGCACTGTATATAATGTAGTATTAACATACTTTTATATTTCAAAACATTAGTTATACAATTTAAAATACTTTTGATTTAGAAAGGCAATTAGTCCTATTATAGACTGAGTGTCAATATCCTATCAACTATACAAACTTGTGAATAGAAAAGCAATATACTGTAGTACACATAAATTGAATATTATGTGTTTCATTGGAAGTATTTCCTGATAATTTTCACTTTAGAAAAAATATATCCTCCAGTATTTGTGACTCTTCAATTTTATCAATTTCCTCATCACCTGGAATATCAAAAAGATCTGGTGAGGAAAATGTTTTTCTTGATGGGGCCACCCTAGATGTGATTATCCGTTGAACCGATGGTGGGTCTTGCTGAAACGATGGTGGGTCTCGATGAACAGTTGGTGGGCCTTGATGAATAGATGGTGGGTCTCTTTGAATTGATTGTGGGTCATGATGAATAGATGGTGGGTTTCGTTGAACCAACAGTGGGTTTTGCTGAGCTGGCACTGGTTCGCAATCAACTAGTAGAGGGTCGAACCTTGAACTGTGTGTGACTTCAACAGTATCAACAATGTCCTTCAATAAACTATGAAAAACCAATAACAAAACATTAAATATATATTATAAGCAATTAGTAGAGCTCCACATAGTACACTATAGGAAAATTATTATACGAAGATTAGATTTAATGCTTGAAAAATTTTTTGAATGCATTAAATCTAACCTAAGTTTAAAATTTTCCATTTAGTGTAAGATGCATGCTCTACTAATTGCTTTATAAGTCAATCGCCATCTTTTAATTTTAGTTTTTTATAACCAACTGTTGTAGCAGTCATCGGTTGCTATAGTGATATGATCAGTATACGTGTGCGTATTTACATTTAGCTGTGTGTATGCTGATTTTTGCTCCTGCAGTACACGTTTAACTACACATCAGCAGTACAGTACGGATACGATGAACAACTATTTGTAATTTGTACTGTGTTAGAAAGAACTTGTTTGTAATGCTATTTTAATAGACTTTCGTCAAAGAAATAAACATTTCAGCATTCGAGAGAAAATGCAGTCACTGATGTCCTTTTTGGTCGGTACATGCATGCAGGTAAAATCGTGCGATGATTTTATAACTGGCTAGGCTACGGCCTAGTAGCAATAAGAGGAGGCCTAGGCGGCCTCCTGCCTGACCGTGGGCCTACATCTAAATTTGTTCCTTGAGTCTTTAAAATAGGTCTAGAATATTCCTATTAAACGTTCAGTTTGTTGTGTTTATGAGGGTCCATTGATTTGTGATTTTTAGTGATTCAAAAATAATAATTTTTTTAAAATTTAACCAGTAAGCTACCCAGTCTGTTGTGAATCTGGAAAAACGCAATCAATTTTTGATATTTTGGCTTAGGTTGGATGTAATCTATCATATACTCCAAACAATTTTTAGAAATATAAAATTATTTTAAAAGTTACACATTATATCCATCCACCAAAGCATTATACTCACTACTATGCATTGAAAATTTGGCAATCAACCAAACACAGAAGACAATCATTCACATCTAAAAGTCATGATCATAATATGAATTTTAGACTAACATATGTTAAACATAATTTTTTGGAAATAGGATCTAACATGATTAGAATTCTTTGTACTACATTATGCTAAACATTAAGGAATGGATTTCCTTATCCTGATGTTGTGGTCATATTAAACTGTAATATAATCAAAGAAGACCATTCAGCAAACATAAAACATTTGAAGAGCTGACTTCCTTATGATTTAGTCATAAGGAAATATAAATTTATATGGGTCTGAAGCAGTGGCGTCGAGAACCAGTAAGGGCCCCGGGGCAACACCTCACATGCCCCCCCTCTCAGTTGGGACCCCCACTCGGCCGCTCCCTAAATTAAGTCTCCTAAATCTGAAAAAACAAAAGTTTTCATCCTGGCTTGGGCTCGGGCCCTATGGAGATTTTGTTCTCACCCTAAAAATTGTTCATCTTGGTCCGGGCCCCCAGTAGACCAGGGCCCCGGGGCAGCGACCCCCCTGACCCCACTCTCGACGCCTAGGCGGCCTGCTGCCTGACCGTGGGCCTACATCTAAATTTGTTCCTTGAGTCTTTAAAATAGGTCTAGAATATTCCTATTAAACGTTCAATTTGTTGTGTTTATGAGGGTCCATTGATTCAATGAATTCCTTAATTGTTCATACTTAATATTGAATTTGAAGTAACTTTCTTCGGGTTCTAATTAAGCTTGTTTTACAAAAGTATTTTTATCACGGTGCACGATGTTTTTGCGTTGGTGACGAAAAAATGAGGATTTTTTTTTGCATACGAACTTTAAAAAAATCAAGCCAAGCGTCCACTAATTGAAAAATTAGTGGAC